CTCTCTCTTCTCCATCTCTCTCTTCTCCATCTCTCTCTCTTCTCCCTCTCTCTTTCCCCCTCTCTCTCTTTTCCCTTACCTCATCTCTTCCAATATCCGTAACATCTTTCCTTCCTTTTTATGCCATCATCAAATACTATTTCTCATTTAACCCACTTACCCATCGCAAATACATTAATTGAAATTTGCACTATTTCCTTTAATTTCATCAAAATGTATGTGTATGTGTGTGTGTGTGCTATTTTTATTGATGGAAAAAATTACAATTTATAAAATCTATAAATCATTGAAAGATAAGGAAAAAAAATAGAGAGAAAGAAAAAAAGAAAATGAGAAGTGAAGTAAGAAAAGAAAAGATCGAATGGACTGAAAAAAGAAATGGAAATTTTCATTTATTCAAAAATTCATAAATACCGGAAAAAAAATCGGAGAGGAAATAGAATTGTTGATTTCGATGATTGAACAAGTCACAGTTGCATTCAATTATTGATATCAATTATAAATTTTAATAATCAAATAATATTGGAGAGGAAAGAAAATTGTTTGCAATATAAAATATCATATTCTTTTGGTTTTTTAATGAACAATTTATCATTGACAAATAATAATATCGAAATGGAAGCAGGATTACTGATTTAATGGAATGATAATGATGATGATTAAATTGTCATTGATATAGGAATATGAATTATAGAAGTTCAAATTTTAGATATCGTTAGTTATGATAATGATAGCAAAATTTCAACGTATGCATAATCGGAATATTGGTAATGTTATTGACGGTAATAAACAGGTAATTTTGAACATTTACGTATCGCTTTCACTTATATATGCAGTATAAAATATTAGAATTGTTCAATTTTTAAAATATCATTAAAATTTTTTTCAAGTAGTAAATATTAATATCGTTAATTAAAATTTTCAAATATCTCCAACTAATAAGTTGATTAGTTTTTTTTTGAATTTTATAGGTTATATGCGGAAATTTAAATTTTTAAAAATTTATAATTCATTTTTTTCTCTTCTCATACATTTATTTTATTTAATTGTTATTTTAGTATGATTCACGAACCGTTTATCCAACTTTACCATCAAATTATGCCTATTCACCTCAGATGAGAAGAGATCAAATTTATTACTCTGATCAGAGAGATCCACGAGCTTACGATACGATGTACAGACAGCAGCAAGTTCGATGAAAGTTACTTTATATGATTACATCCCAAATTATAGCAAATCCTGAGAAGGAAAAACAGAGATAAAGGCAGAGAGAGAGAGGGCGAGAGAGGGCGAGAGAGGGCGAGAGAGGGGAAGAAAAAGGAACAACTATGAATGCTGAATTAAATTGTAAAGTTTTTCATTCTGAACTTTATTAAAAATGAACGAATAAGAAGTCATCTCTATATTTCTATGAAAATTTGCTAGTCATATTTTTTATTCATTCACAGCTAATTGGCTAAATAGAATTTTATTAATTCAGTTTTATTTAATTTATAATTATTTTTTAAATGATATTTGAAGTCATTTCCTTTTGATAGATTATGAGATAGTTTGCATCTGTACTTTTTTTTTTAAATTTTTATTTGACAAGTGCTAACTGTAAATTAAATTTTTGTTTTTAATGAATTTGTGTAATTGTAAAAAATAAACGAATTTGTTTTTGTTTTGTAATTAACACTTCGACAAGCAAGCAACTATAATGCAAGCTGAACTCAGTTCAAGCATGAATAATCAGTAGAATATACAAAAAACAGGTGAAAGTAATTATATGAAAAATATCAATATTTCTCGGTTATTATTACTGTTATCGCTATTATTATTTTTTGTTTTACGCCACTATCATTATTATTGTTATTATCATCATTTATCATTATTATTATTACTATTATCAATTAAATATTTTAAAATAATTTAAAAATTATCTCCTTTTTTTCTAAATTTCGAATATATAGAAAAGAAAGATTGGTGGAATGGAATGAGCTTCGAAATTATTTTCATGTATGTAATTTTATATCATTGAAGGAATTATTAATATTTAATTTAAACCATAATTTCACCTCGTAATCTGTCATTAATAATTTTGATTCTAACACTGAGTGGTTGTTTTATCATTCCATTCTCTTAATTGAGAGTCAAGTGGAAATTTCAAGTTCTAATTTTGAATTTACAATTGCATTTGAAACATTTTTAATGAAACTAAGTAAACCATCAAATAATTCGTCATGATGAAATTTCAGAATAATATTGCCAAGCAGCATTTTATTTATTTTATTAAAATTTGGAAAAATTTGACTTTCTCCAAATCAAGAATTATCCTAACGCTATTTAGCTCATTGTTAAGCTTTTTTTCGTTTTCAATGGTAATTGATAGTAATGCATAAATTGAAGAGAATTGAGTGAAGCTGAATAAATTAAATTAATTTTGATAAAAACGTAATTTGATATGATTAAAAAAGGATGACGGAACAGCTATCAGTATTAGCGGATCGAATGATCCATCGTTTAATGACCGATCAATTTTTGGATGGTTTTTCCGATTCCCAATTGATTGCAATTATCGATGCTGTAAGTGTTTCGTGATGGATGACACACAAATAATCTTCACAATTTGGAATAAATTCAATGAAAAAAGCATTTCTCCCAATTCCGAATATTTTTTCGAGAAAAAAGCAAAAATAAATCTTTTTATTTTTATAAATAACGAAGTTTAATTTAATTTTGTAAAAAATAAGATAACTTCATTTTTAGGTTTGTAAAATAATGCAACCAAATGGATCTTTGATTGAAATTTCTGCACCTGTTATTATTTTTGGTGATATTCATGGACAATTCGGTGATTTAATGCGTTATTTAAAAATTGTTGGTACACCACCGGAACAAAATTTCCTATTTTTGGGTGATTATATTGATCGATGTAAAAAAGGACTTGAGGTTATTTTTTTTTTCTTTCTTTTTTCATCCTCTTTGAATATTCAAAAAAGTTGTCAAATTTATAATCTTTAAATGTGAAAATTCCAGGTTGTAATGTTATTATTTTGCTTCAAAGTGAAATATCCGGATAAGGTCAATCTTTTGCGTGGTAATCATGAATGTACAAAAATGAATCGAACTTACGGATTCTATCAGGAATGTAAACGTGTACGAACAACATTGCTTTGGAAGATATTCCAGAAAGCTTTCAATGAATTACCGTTATGTGCAAATGTATGCATAATATATTTTATAGCTCTTTCAACCTTTGACCCTAATCATAGTTATAATATATTGAGAATGTTTACAACTGTTATTCTTGTTTTACTTCATCATTTTACCATACTTAGTTTTGAAACTTTCTAAAAAATAAAAAAAATTTTTTTTTAGTTTTGAAACTTTTTTTTAAAAAAATATTAATAACTTCTTCATTATTAAAATAAATGCACAAGAATTCCGGAAATTGATCTCAGTTAATTATCACAAGCCTATGAAATTATGATTTATCGTTATACCGTGTATTGATCTATCCAATGGAATAATTTAGAATGATTTAAAGTTATCGCGTAAATTAGAATTATCAGTGGAATAACAATTTAGGTAAACAATCGATTGGTTTGTATGCATGGTGGTATAAGTCCTTTAATACACGGATGGTATTCATTGAAAAATTTAAAGGTATATTATTTCATCATTCCTTTTTCTTTTTTAAATTATCAAATATGAACTTCAAAACTTTATCAAATATCAGAAAAAATCAACAATAAAATTGTTTAACAAATATAGCTATAATTATTGTAATTCAATCAAAAAAAAATTCCAAGAAACCAAAAAGTCAAGCGGATTGTGATTGGGGCTTAGCACTTGATCTGATGTGGTCTGATCCGGATAGTGATCCGTGTGCTAGAGGTTTCACACCCAATAAAATTCGTAATGCTTCATGGATGTTTGGACAAGATATGATTAAAGAATGCGTTGCAGTATGCGTTGCTTTTTCACTTTCTTCCTTTTTTTCTTAATTTTGAAAATATTTTAAAAACACGAAATCAAATGAACAAATATACAAACAGAACAAATATCTTATCATATATTTTTCCCACACTATCATTCAATCAATCTATCTTCATATATGATTTTATCTGTTGAATAAATGCACTTTGTCAAACAAATTAATCATTAATGTAAATGGAACAAGGAATTGATGGATGTAAATTGAACAAGGAATTGATGGATAATTAAAAAAAATTTATTATTATTGCAATTATTATTGTCAATTACTAATAGATAATTATAATTGTTACTGTAATTACTATAAGGCATTGGATGTGGACATGATAGTACGAGCGCATGAAGTTGTTAAAAATGGTCATCAAATTGATTGTGATGGAAAAATTTGTACCGTTTTTTCCGCACCAAATTATTGTGGTAGCGATGGTAATTGTGGATCAATTATGCGTGTTACTGATGATTTGAAAATTTCATTCGTAACATTAAAACCAAAATTAGAAGTGCAAAAATTGAGTGCTGAAAAACTCGCTGAATTTGAGAAACAGAATCGATCAAGTGCTGCTAAAAGTCCTAATCCAGGTTTGCCCCAATTCTAAGATGTATTTAAATGAGGAAAAGTAATTTTGAGAATTAAAAGTCATTTTGTTTCCAGAAAATTTACTACTGAATTACAAAATGATTATTAAATTTTATTCATTTTATAAATCTTTTCCTTTGTTTTTCTTCTTCCTTTCATTCGTGTTTAATTTGCTATTTTTTTCGAAGGAGTAAAAAATACATTTTTATAGGAACAAATTTACTTCCAACCGAAATAATAACATCAATCAAACAGGAAAAACTGCAGTAATTTATTTGAATAAGCGTGCAATTGATAGCTTATTTATTCGCTAAAAGCAATGATAATAAAGCAAAGTGAAATAAATGATAAGAATGTAACCGATCAAATCTTTTCATAACATTCTACAAAAATATTAATTTTATAAATCTTTTCCCTTGTTTTTTTCCTTCTTTTCCTTTTCTTTCTTTCACTTAAATTGCCTTTTTTTCGAAAAGTAAAAAAGTACATAGAGGAAAAATGCACAAAGGGATATTTTTGTTGGGGTTAAAACTTTCATTGATCAAATGTAATTCATCAGAGATATCTTATGGGACACAAATTTTCATATCGTGCGATTTTATACTGCCTCTCACTTCTTTTTAGTCTCTATCGTCTTCTCAGTTCATTTATCTTTTTTGTACGAGTTCCTAATATACCCAATTCCCAAACTATTTCGCATATCTTTTCCTGCCTGTTAATCATTGTTAACATTGGGAAGTGTTATTCTGTATGAATTTTCTTAATCCGCAATGTGCACTTTATTTATTGTTGTATTATATTAGCATTAAGTGGAAGATTTCTCAACATGCTTCCGAAAATTCACACTTTATTTGATATCGTCGGCATATAGCTATGCAATGCTATTGGTTGCTGGTTATAAAAATCCACGTTTTTTATGGTACAATTAGAAAATGGTAACATAAACGAAATATATCACATGGTGTCATTAATGGTTGTTTGCAGTAAAACTATATCATTTGATATTATTGATACATAGGTAGAACGGTTATCTAATTATTTGTTACCATTTGGAAATGGTTATCAAAAATCAAGCTTTATTTCTAAGGGTATATATTTCTGTCTTCATATTCATGTTCCATTTCTTGGACCGTTTCTTGAGCTGATAATTTCCTCTCTTCGATCAAAATTTGAATAAATGTTTGATAAATATAAATGTCATGTTTCCAGCTTAAATTGGTAAGGATATGCTCTTCAGATATATCCATCCATTTCATATTTTTAATCGATGACAACATGCCGGAAATTCAACTGATAATTATTGCATAACGCCAAATGGTTGCCATTGATTTAATCTTTGTAATATTATTATTGTTTCCAGTCTCATCATTCGTTACAGCTAAAATATTAAAGCCCTGTTCGGAACTGCTAATGGGACAGTAAGTTTCCGATTCATAATTCGATAAGTGATACAAAATTCAAAATTTTCCTCCCTAAAATTGTCTGTTTAGAAAATCAAATGGCTTTCTAAGATTTACTTTAGTTATTTCATTACGGAAAATGGAGATTACTATAAATGCTAACATGCACATCTATTTATATTTGTATTAACTGGTACATGTGTTCTGTTTCATTTACTTGTCAACATTTTTCACCTTAATTGCTGGGAAATATATGCATGCATAACTAGTTATCTCGTTGTTAATCCAAACTATTTTTTCTACAGATATTGGTGCGAAGAGCCCAAAATTTCACCGATCACTCAGCTTCCTGAAACCTGTGAGAAGGATAATACAATTACAGGTTAATAGTGTAGCTTTAATAACATGGAATTATTCATCCGAAGTTGATATGGTATAACTTTGCGAGAAGTTGCAGTTCAGCTGAATATGAATATGACATATTTGTGATGCACACTTGCAGTACAATATATATTACTCGTCGGACTAGCATTTGTAAAATCGAGGAACTTTTACCCTGATCTCAGTTTCTGTAACTTCCTAAATAAATTCTTATTAAAGTTTAAATTTCTGGAGTAGATGTATAGGTTTTTAGGAAATTCGAAATATTCGACAGCAGTTTATATGAAAATTATACCATTTTTCAGTTATTTGTGAAGTGGCAAATGAAATCAATTGTATAGGATTGGATAACGGTACAAGAAAGTATGTTATGAGGCTTTTTTCATTTAAAATGCAATTCAAAATGATTTTCTTGATGCAGAAGCCTGTAAAATGCATGTTTTTTAGTTTCTTACACTGTAGGTTCCTAAAACGTGTGCCAAATGGATGTGCTTATTCATCTGGTGTTGATTACAGTACTGCGTTATTGTTATCAGTATTTCTTGGTTGGTTAGGTATCGATCGAATTTACCTTGGATATTATGCTATAGGTTAAAAATCTTTTCCTTTTTAATTTCTTAATTATTATTTGCTAATGTAAGGTATTAGTGCAAGTCGTTATGAAGTAACAGAAGCAGTGATTAATTACAACTTTATTTGATTAAGATCTGTAAATGTAAAAAGGAATGCTGCAGGGAACGATGTAGTTTGTTTCAAAAATAGGTTTTAATTATCTAAACCAGAAAAAAATTGTGTTTACGAAGTTCTCCAAAATTTGTTTCATTTGTCACCAAGAAGGAATTGAAATGATTTTGCTTTAAGTAACAGATTTGTAACTAATAAGTTGTTTTTCAACTAAGTCTGAATAAATTTCATGTAAACTATTACAGATACGATAATATTTATTATATCGCATTTTTGTAATTTAAAAGATGCCAAATCGAAGTTATTGACATTTTAAACTCTTTGTTTCTTTCAGGATTTCTGAAGATGTTTTCATTTGGGTGCTTCGCATTATTGTATCTTGTGGATATCGTATTAATTGCGTTGCAGTTGCTGGGACCAGCTGATGGTTCTGCTTATCGGATCAGTTTCTATGGGCCAAAAGCGACACCAGTACGATTTTCGAACGATACTTATGTTTCGCTCTATACTTGTTTCGATTGTTCACCATAGTTTCTTCCTCTATGTTCTTCTGAAGCTTCGATTTTCACAGTAAATTTTTGTTTCAAATTCAAAAGAATGAGATTTTACCAGTTCTACTTGTATTTTGCGTCTAATCTCCCATTTTGTGATACATTTTATTACTTATATTATTTTGCTGTTGTACGGGTACGTTATTCAAATGTGCATACAATTTTTGCCTCAGTTTGTGTTTAATTTCTTTTGTGTGGTATTATCCACAGAAAGATATTTAGTTGAAGAACATTTAGATCAAGATATGAAATTGAATTTGATTTCATACATAACTATTCTGTTATGGATTTTCAACTCTTGTTTTGCGCTTAAGATTTATAATACAGATACTTTTCAACACAGATTTGTTCCGATTTTTATAAACTTTCCGAATGTCATTTCCATTTTTTTTCAGTATTAGAATTATTTCGTTCTGAGGTTTGAGAAAATGTCACAAGCACAACTACAAATGATAGCTGATTTGGAGATGGAAATGATGTCTGACATGTATCGGCGGATGACGACAGCATGTCAGCAGAAATGTATTTCAACTCGTTACAAGTAAGTCATATTATTATTTGTACTTTACAGGTGTTTTTTTTTCATGTTTAAAATTTCTTGAAAGATTATTCCTATTCAGTGTGCTTCACTAATTTAATATATGGATCGTCTCAATGTGTTTCTTTTTAATTCCACTTTTAATTTAAACCTAGATTGAAGTTCTTCAAAGTTTGAACCTATTAAAGATGAAACGTTTTATCGCATTTAATAGAATAACATAATCTTGATATGACAAGATGCATGATAACTGTCAGTGAATAGAAATTACCGGAAGCTCAACTGATAATGTTTTGAATTTTCCAAATTTTTGCATCTTTTTAAAAAGTTTTTTGCTGATTTATAGGGAGGCGGAATTGACAAAAGGTGAAGCAGTTTGCTTGGATCGTTGCGTTGCTAAATATTTGGATGTACATGAAAAACTTGGAAAACGGTTAACGTCAATATCGCAGCAGGATGAGAAGCAATTGCAGCAAATGCAACAACAATTACAATTACAACAACAAGCAAAATAATAATTGGTTTGTCTCCTGATTATATACAAATTGCTCACAAATAAAATCTTCAGTTTATAACTTCTTGTTGATCGCGTAGTCAATGTTTGAAAGTGTCAGGGCATTGAATAAACGAAAGGATTGTTTCATCAACTTTGGAAGGTTTAATGCTACAGCATGGCTATGTTTGGCTTTTATTTTGGACCAGACAGCAACGCTAAATCTACAACAGATACATAATTACACGAGTTTTGCTGTATCTGATAATGAACACCTCATTCCAACATTTTCTGAATATAAGATTGGATTGTATTTCTAATTATCAACGTCAATATTCAAATAGTCAGTAGTCAAAATCAGCAATATTGGCTCAATAGTCAATATCACTGATTTATTCTCACATACAATAAAGTAAATTAATCATAACATATTAATTTCATTCTAGTATTAGCTAAGCTTCACTCTCAAACGGTTAAACATTAGCTGATTGAGTTTGCTAACGATAAAATGGAACAGTTGTCAGCAGTTGATTTTCGTAAAGCAACAGGAGAATAATGAAAGTGAGTCATTGAGCAATGAATATTGTAAAAAGTTACTTCATTACTTCATCCTTAAATTTCTTAGATTCTTAGATAAATAGCTTCCTGCTTTTGATGCAAAATGGAAATGCATTTTTTTTAATCGACATTTATAACAGCTTTTATGTAAGACGAAATCAAATGAAAAAGTTTACTAAAGTTAAGACATAATTAGTTTAAAATTGGTTTTTGTCCTTTTTCTTTTTTATTTTAAGCATATTTGATTTATGTTTATTTGTAGTTCGGCATCGAAATCTAGAAGTCGAAGCGAACGTCAATTATTAAAAATTTTTTACTTTCATAGATTTTCGTTCTTGCTTTCATTTTGTTTAAGAATTTTTTTAAAAAGCAAGTTGATATTCCGGTTTCTCTCTTTTTACATCATAAATAAAGATTCTTTACGAGGAAAAAAGCACAGTATGATATTTTTTACATCATTCACTGTTTTAACAGATTGGCTTTTTTAACGTCACAACAAATTAACTTCTGAGAAAGAAATTCTAATAAAAACAAAATACCACAGTAAGCAATAACAAACATAGAAATATAAGATAATATTATAGAATTCAACTTAAAATGGAAATCCTTATCAAAGGCGAAAAAATTTTCATTTGGAAGAAGGAATTACGATTAAAATTCTGAAAATGAGTTAAGGTAATCGTCTTCCAATTTAGAAGTTATGAGTCGCGCAAATATAAAAATCAATTCTGCTGAAAATGTTTTTTTAGGTGCTTACCACACACATCAAAATTAGCATTATGATCGATATTGCTTCCACATACAGATTCACTTGATTAATCATTTAAAATTTAAACTTTCCATGAATTTAAGTAAATTTACGACAAATTAAAAATACATTAAAAACTTTTGACCACTGCTGTCATTGTTAATGTATACGGATGTTTTTCGCTTGGGAAATTTCCTTTTTTGAATTTGTTTGAAGGGTTGAATTTTATTTTAAGAATTGTATTTGTGAACAATTGAGAAAAAGCTTAGAAACGGAAAATAAAAAATACTGTAGAGTTATAACATTAAAAGAAAATTGAAAATTTATTTTTCTATATTTGAATATATTTGGCAGATTTTAATAAAATTTAAATTCTAAATATTTATTATTTAAATTCGAAATGAAAATTTGATAGATGTTAAAACTAGGAAAAGTAGTGGCTGCATCAACTGATATGACAAGTGACGTGAAAATATTCATGATAAAAATGGGGGAAAAGTGTGACGGATATATAAAGATTTAAAGCTGAAAGACGAAAACGTGAAAGATTAAGTTGCAAAAGATTGATAAAACATTATTAAAGACGAAGTGATTGATTAAAGCATAGAAGTATTAAGTATTGTATAGCGCAATTACTATGTAAGGTTTTTTTAATTTATTGAAATACTATTTTAAACTAGTGATTTCAATCATTTTCCTTTTTATATAAAGTCAAATCAAAATGATGGAAATAAAAAGTAAAAGAGAAAAGGAAAAAATAAATGAACAAATTATTCTAATTAACTGAATGATTTGTCATTTTATCTTTTACGATACGTAATTTCTTCTGTACACATATACATGTTGAAAGAGTTGTGAAAAAAAAAAGAAATTTCGTGAAATGGACGGTGCTCACTCAAATTGCTCTTTGTTCAAAAGATTTAATTTTCGTGTATTTTATAAGTGATTCACTTTTTTTGCAAAAATTCACTACTAATACACCTCTCTTCCATTTTCTTTTTCTCATATTACCCAATCTCCTCTCTTTCCTTTTTTTTGATTTAATTTGATTTCAATGAATAATTCTGGATAAAAAATCTGTTATTGTTAAAGCGCAATGATTTAATTAATTCATCATTCTTATCAATATTAATGATACAATGATTTTATTAATGAATTAAGAAAAGCGTTCACATTGTTAGAAATGTTTTTGTAACCTTCGAAAATTTTATTAAAATATACAATGTTTTACTTATAAAGGAAAAATTCACATGTTACGTAGTCTTAATGATTCTGTTTTATGGCGTATAATAAATATTAAGTTATAAGCACTTTTATTTTATGGTTAAATATTTAATCGAAAATAAGTATCATATCATACAATAAATTAAGTATCATATCACACAATAAATCAGATAGAACAATAATGTAAATAAGATTTAAAAATATAAAAGATAAATGCCTTCAATCAGTTAACAAACATTTCATTAAATGAGCTAAATCAAACTGATGGAAAGAATGTTATTCGAATAGTATTAATCTGTTAATTTGATAAAACAAGAATACTGTCAATATAAGCTAACATTATTAACTATACGAAAATTTATTTTATTTAATTCTAAATTTTATAATTTGTTACTTTCTTAGAAGATATGATATGTCTAAATTGTAAGTTCTTTTTTTTTGTCTGTTCCTTTTTCTTTTCTTTAAGCTAAAAAAGAAACTTCCAATAATTTTTTTTTAGACATTACAACATGAACCAACAAATTATTCATATTTTAATACAATTAATAATGACAATAATGATTACAATTACTTTGGCACGACCGCAACTTTTACCATCAGCTAATTATGGTTGTATTGCTTCGCCAAGTTTAAATGGTTATTCAACTTGGTGTGGTTATAATCAGAAACGAATAAATGAAAAGATTATTTGGCTATAACGATTCAGCAATGACACAAACGAAAAATTCTCATCAAATTTTATCGAAATATGGCAACAAAATAGTATGAACTTTGAAAATGAATTCCTTTTAATGCATTTCTTTTTGTAATATTTATCTTTTTGTCAAATTAGTACTATAAGCATACATAATATTTTAATTTGAAAGGTTTAAATTGCTATTTTAACCATGATTAATTTTATTTATTGCTGTTATTTCTCTCTCTTTTTCTATCCTCATCTCTCACCAAGTATCGTTTATTTATTCCATAATGGAATTAAAATACTGATTTGATAATGATTAATATTAAGAAAAGATTCCTTTACATTTAAGGATGATTCATTAATGTTTTAAAAATTTAATAATTATGTTATAGTTATTTCTATTGCTTATTCATTCTTACTTTGCAGTGTTTTTTTTTTTGCTTCCATGAATTTTATCCTATTTTTTTGAAATAAATTTCAATTTTCAGCAGCAGTAATCTTCAACAAGTGTTAACAATTCAAAGTGTAATTCGCAAACATGAACTCTATTGATCAGCCTAATCAAACTATTAACTATTTGCACTCTTTTGATTTTTCATCAAAATTTGAATAATATTGAATAACTTCAACTTACCAAATATATATTTTCAAAACTTTTGGTCATTAAATTCAATTTTCCAAAAATTTTTCTCACAACATCTCTTCAGTTATTTTATTTCACCAAAATGATCATAGAAAAATTAATAAAAAAGTAATAGGAAAGTTTTCTTGAACTAACAGCTGAAATATTTCTATTTCATATTGTCTTAAATAGGAACAAATTAAAATTAAAACGATATTAAAATTGTGTCGAAATAACAACGAATTGCAAAATAATTACTTTAAATTTAGGTTGTCAATTTAGATTCATCCGGAATACCTTTGCTGAAATGAACTTATAAAAATGAATCACTTGAATATTTCGCTAATTGAAATTTATCGCGAACGTGGCGAAGTTCCAACAAATAAAGTAAATTTTCGCAATCAAGTTCCGGTTGCCGTGCACTGTTCTTTGAGCAAATTAGTGAATGACAAATCATTAGTGACAACTATTATTTGATAGAAATGACTTTCGGTCTTCAATTTGGGCTTCCTTTGGTTTCGTATCGTATAAACTATTATTTAAGCGTATTTTTCATCTGCAAAAATAGGCGAAAACATTAAAAGTGTTACTTTAAAAAAAAAACATAAACAACAAGTTAATTGAGTTCATAAAGATTAAATAAAATAAAAATATAAGGTAAAAAAAAATTATTGGCAATACTTATTTAATTTAGTATTCAAATTTAAAAATAACGTTCAAAAATGAATATTTTGCTCACCAAAAAATAAAATTTAATAAAGGATCAAAACAAAAAATAAAAACAATCATGTAAGATTTCTTTAATCATCTAAAAAGTTATAAATTCATGAAAGGCTCTCTCTACGAATAACATTTTTATCATATTATTATTACTTCCGCTTTTTCTGTTTAACACTTTTTTGAGAAATAATTTCCGTACAATCACAGTATTCGTGAGTAAGCAACCGCTCATTTTTATTTACATTTCATTTGTTTTGAAGATTTCATCACTAAATAAAATGTTTTCTTTTAAATATCATCACATTATTCATCACAGATCACAGCGAACATTACGCAGTCATATCTGTTCAGTCACTTACAAATAATTTTTCAATGTTGTAAAATTATAATAAAAATGAAATAGTAACACGAAAAAAGCATTATGAATAATAACGATCTCTTTTTCTTCACCAATTAATTTGATTTACA